ATCACGCGAATGTCGATGCTCTGGTAAGGGAATAGGCCTATTATTCTCTAAATAAATAGAGATTGATATAGTTTCCTAGTTGGGAATGAAATTCGTGGCTTGGCAAAGCGGCGAGGCGGACTTGGCCGGAAACGTTGTTACGGTTTAAAACAGCCGAATAAGTCGCCCCCGACGGCTCTCCAGGAACTCAAGTCCCCTGATTCGATAAAGTCGGCGGCCCGACAACCGTTTTTGTTATCGAGTTCCGAGGTCAAAGGAATTAAATAGTCAGGCCTGGATAAATAAAGGACACGAGACGCCAGACGGAGCGCCGGAGGCGCCTAGGTGCACGAAGCCAACCCCCACAGATTATACAACAAGCACGTTAAGCAACGACACCCCTTAGACGCCCTCCGACGCATTCGTAGCCCTTTACCAGGGGCTTGTTCTCCACACAATGCCATTCGTGGGGAGCCCCTCCCCGATTGTACACACCTCCAGCAAAGACCACGAACTCCGGGGAAGTCAGCCATTCACCTAGACGTGGTGCTCCCCTTGGCAAACCTTCCTCACCGAAACAGTCTAATCTTCGAAAACGACACCTCCCTAAATAAGCCCCTTAAATAAACAAAGCGAGTGAATAAATTTAATCGAATGTAGGGAAAGAAAAGAAAGAGAAAAGAAGGACAGTATCGGGGTGCCTAACAGACCAGGAAATCCGAGGGTCACCTGGAGATGGTGTTCCCCGTGACAACCCCTGACTCCTGAAAATGGCTAATCTTGGGAGACACCCTCCGAAATAAGCTCCCAAAATAAACGAAGCGAATGAATTAATTTAATCGAAGATGTGAGAAAGAAAGAGGAAATAAAGGATAATATTTACAGAATCCTGGAAACGTTTCACCGTTTCGCTTCTTCCGGAACTCGGCCGGCTTTATTTCCCCTCGCCTTTGCCCGCGAGACTCCCTGGTCATTCCGGCATCCCCGTGAACCCTTTGTCCTCGGTCGTTTTGACCCCGTGAAAATGTACGTGAAAAACCCCCTCCAAGCCCCGTTGATTGTCCTCCCAGAAGTCGTGATAAGCCCGGAAGAAACCATCCGCGCAGAAAGAACACCCGGGGGATGTTCCCCGGCCTCGGAGGTCCCTTTGACCCCTGAATCAAGAGGGGTTGCAAAGCTCCTCGAAGCCGCCCTCGACTTTGCAGGCAAGTTTTCCCAGTTCTTAACAACGAACAAGACGAAATGTCATCGACTTTGTCTCACCCCGTCGAACGGTCCCGACTCGGGCGAGGAGTAACGACGAGGTGGAACTCTGCGCGGCGTAAAATGAAACGTTGTTAAGTGAAAGGGGATATTTACTGCTCTCTGTAACGAGGAGTAACGAGGGCCGGGCGCAATCGAAAAGAAAGCAGCGGGATAATATTCCGAGAATGCGAAGCCGCGCTCCTACGGGGAATGAAAGCCCCCGATTTGAATTCAACGGAAAGGGACATTTCCCCGACAGTCGTTCCTCCGTCATTTAAGATTTCGCCCTGCCACCCCTTTCGCCGGGCGTAAATAGCGCAGCAACTACCGGGGGAACAATCCTTTGAAAGCCCTCCGACGGGTGTACGCGAAAAAGTTTCTTTCTCATTTTTAAAGCGAAGCCGGGAAGGAACCTTGAAGTCGAACGACAAGGAGCACCCCGGCGACAGTTTCCACGAGAAGTTACCCCCGAGTGAACCTCCTCGGCAGATTTAAAAAGGAAAAATGATGAGCGCATTAAAAATGACCGTCACGAGGCGAGTGCACTGCCTATTATTCTTTTTTTCATCCTTCTTTCAATCCCACAACGTAACCTATTTAAAATCAAGCCGCAAGGATCGCGTCATCATATTCGAGGGGGTATCTCAAGAAGAAAATGGGAAATTAATTATAATCCCTAGGATATTGTCCTCCCTCTTCAATGACCTAAGGAGCTCGTTAATATTTTCTAGAGACCGAGCACATTAAAATGAGAACGTGCGAAACGAATGAAGTTCCAGGAGCATTGTTATTAATTTCACGACACAATAACCCTTTCCTGCCACCGGGGGAGCCCCGACCGTATGAAATCCCATTCGGGCGAACTTTATCCCGGCTTTGAGGAGGCTGCAGAAAACCCAAGAGGATACCACCCACGTACACAGGGGGTGTATACCGACATCCCCCGTAGACGTTTCCCCGGCTTCTCGAGTTCGCTCCTCCTCGGGAATACATACACCCTTTTGTTCCTATAGTGCGTTGACCTACCACCGCGAACGTCTGCGGCGAGTTTCAATATTTCAGTGGACTCCTCGGAGGCTGGAATGGACAGCTACCCTCGAAGGAGATCGATTACTTCGAAATCGAGGAAGAAGCAACCCCTGGCCCGGAGTAGCTTCGAGGAGCGTCCTCTGACGAAACGCTCGATCGACGAGAAAAAACGCTCCACCCCTGGTTAAAGGGATGTGAAAGTGGCATCCGAAAGCTCAATCGTCCATAAAACCATCCCATGAACTGGGTGTCTCGTCCTTTCATACTTTAAAACATGAATATGTAGACCCCTAAGGGTAGGTCCCGAAACTCGAGAAATTTCATTTTCTATAAACTATTTTTAAAATACCTATAAATTCGAAAAGAATTGAAATTTCATGAATTTCGGGACCTTCCCTATAGTCTCCCTATTCACGTTGTAACGTTTCAAACTATTCGGTAAACCGAGTTGGGAGAAAAGTTTTATAAACAAAACCACTTCGACGCCACTTTCACATCGCCTTAAAGGGAAAGATCAAGCTTCCCAAAGAAAATACTAAATGTATCCGCAATAACGATCGTCCATAGTCACTTGGGACAATTTTAATTCCCTGAACATTTGTATTATTTTTTTTCTTTTTAATCTGGATACCGATTGGGAACGAAAAATCAATTGGAAAAAATGAAAGGAGAGATTTAAGGAGAGAACCACCAGCGGTCCCATTGTTCCATCGGGATGGCGCGCTTCTCAGCCGCCCAATTTTGTCTATAAAATCGAATTTGATGGACCGTAATGGCACGTTCGAGGTATTCGGCATTGCATCCTTTTTCCACGGTCGGGCACTTTTCACGACTCCGTTCCACGCTCCAGTTGGCGATGCACGAATCGATGTCGCCTTTAAAGGCGCTCGCCGGCATTTACGGACCAATCGTTCGGCGGTAATTGCATTTGTGCATCCTGTCGACAGCGAGACCTCTTAAAGCGTTTGAACTTAATCTACTGGAAGCCACGAAACGTGAAATATTTCCGTTAACAACCTGGAATTATATGGGATTTAATGGAAATGGAACGTGCGCCTTCTCCACAAACCGCGAACGTCATTTTCCACCTTGACCGTGGTTCCGGTTCCAACAATTACTTCTAAATATGAAAGAAAAAAAATAAATAAAAACAATTACCGGAATACTTATAAGCCTCATGTTCCAACGTCGCAAAGGTACGCCTGGATATGTCGAGAAATTAGAAAAGAAAAATTGATCCGCGCACGTTTTTCGCGTTTTCGCACATCCACCGATAAAGGATTGGGGTCGGAATTATCGACTCGGCTGGCAGGGTAAACCGGGACGTAATCAAATCATTGCAAAGCACCATTATACCGATTCGTTGATCGATGCAGTTTTCTGAATAGCGGTAGCGTCATAGAACTCACCGCGTGATAAATGAAGTTTACCGTGCAGCCGAGCCTGGAGGATAAAATCGATCGCAAAAGGGTTCAGCAAACGAGGAAAAACGCTCGAGGTTTAAACAGTGATTGGGATCGCCGTAAGTGTTTCACTCGCACGACCTAGTTAGATGCCTCCTGGTGCGTTAATACGACGGATTCGACGCTAAGCCCGGGAAAGGGAGAGTTGGAGTGCTCCGATGAAAAGGCAGGAAAAATCACGAGGATAAATATTCAGAGCGCAAACGTTTCGGAGGAATACAGACCGGCGCGTTTCCTTTTATTTCCATCTGATTGCAAAGCCAACGCGAAAGATCGGAATTATATAGAGAGAACTTCCCAGCCGAAGCTCGCGACCAAATATTTGCGCAGTCCCGAAAGGCGCTGCGCAAATTAATCCTCGGAAAATTTTCCAGAGGGCTTCGCCAGGCGGAAAAATCTGAATTCTATGGAACCATCTACCAAGGACCCGGAAAATTGAATCCAACGCTCTCATAGAATCTTACGTACGGAGTAATCGGGAATTCGGGATCGATCGTGAACTCCAATGAACGTCAATGAACATCAATGAACATCGAACGCGTTTAGGTCTCGCTGTCGATTCTTCGATTTCGGGGATGCTGCAAAACGTGCCATTTAGAATTTAATGTCCCACTTTATAGAGATATCGGAAGCTTCACGGGCTTGACGTTTTTTCCTGCCTGAAAAGTCTTTCAGGTATTATGCAAAAACGAACCTAGTGCCTTTACGGCGCCTCCTCGCTTTACAGTGCAAAGGTGACGCGGTCCTTTGACCACGTCCTTGCGCGCTCCACTAAGCTCGTCAGAGCACTTTGGTAAATACATACTTACTTCAAACGGTCTGTAGATAAGCGCATAGCAGTAAAACGTCGCTCGAGACTCCGTTAACCTAGTTTTAGGGGCTGCGGCTCGAAAAACTCCAATTTTATGGCGTTTGCCAGTCAAATCACCGGACAATCTTTGCCGCTTTAGGAGACACATCGATCGCGGCTTCTTAGAAGCTGATTAATCAATATTTACGCTCCACTTTACATGATAACGTTTGAACCATTGAACCATTCCAATGGCAATGAATCGTTTCGTTTAGAGAAAATAAATAACGAATCTCCCAACATCGAACGCTCGTAAATGTGGAAAAAGAAGTAAAATGAACATTCCACTGATAAGAGCTATAGCGTTCGTCATACCTGATATGTTTAATGGGAGTAGTCTAAGTATGCAGTAAGGCATTGGAAAATCATGTGGAAGTGGGACAAATCAATCATTAACCGTTCAGCAAAGATGGCGGTAATCCGTTTAAACTCACCAGCCTGCAATGCCGTTGGGCTGTATTTCTTGAAGGAAAATGCCGAGTTCCCCTTTATCTTTGCTCCGCAATCCTACGACGCTGAATCCAAGACTGGTGCCCTCCGGTTTAAATAACTGAAAGGAAAATGATTTTTAAGCTTATACCATTAAGATATGCATGAATTGAGAATACATTTAAGTTAATTTAATACCTGCACGGTGTAGACATGTCGTCCTTTTGAAGCAGCTTTAATGACTTTCTGGAATTCCTTGGCATATGTCAGAGTCGTTATGGGAGGCATGCCGACATCGTCCGATACCAAGCTCGGGCTTGTAACCTGAACAAAGTAAAAAATACGATATCGTATAAGTTACGTTGCAAAATATTGATATAAAAAAAATTGCAAGCCTACTATCTGTTATTTAAGGATTTAAAAAATTCACCTGAGCACTGGTGTCCTCGCTGCTGCTGTGCACTAACTGAGCGACCGGTACTCTCTGATCCTCGAGTTCGCTGCTGTCTTGATACAGATCCTGATATAAATTCGGTCCCATCGGTTGAGCAGGTGTAGTCGGCAGTGATAGTTCCAACTGCCCACCAAGATTAATATCAAAATCTCCTGGTAAAATCGAAGGATGCTGACCAAGTTGAGTGTTCAACTCGGTCAATGAATCCTGAATCGTAACGATACTGCGAAACACTGGATCCTCCAGCAAGGAAAGAAGAGCTTTCAGATCTTGGCTCGTATGCATCTGAAGCTTCGGGTCGTCGCAATCTTCCATGCGCTCCTGAATATGTTCCAGTAAATGGAGAGCGGTTGATATATCTGAATGAAACAAGAATATAAATATAAAATGAAATTTTCATCACCTAGTGCTTCACTAATTATCCGTGCAAATTTTAAGTAGTTACCCATACCTGCACTTAAAGACATTTTGATCTTCCTTTTGTTGTCGACAATTACAAACGCTAATAGATCTTAGCTGCTAAGCACTGGAAGAACAGATACCAAAAATTATTATAGACCTGTATCCCTTAAAGTTAATTCCCTAAGTGGAATAAAAAATCTACAAGGAAGTATTCCATGCAAACGTTCAATCCAAAGAAACTGTAATCAAAATTCGAGCAGAAATAAAAATCTTCAGGAAATCAATATAGACAAGCATGACCTTGGCGATTGCAATTCGCATGCGAGTCCATGTTTGCTAGTATTTTATCGTAGAACTGGAGGACGTAACACATGGACAAACATGACAAACAAGGAATTAGCATTTAATTAAAATTACGTGCAACATCAGAAAGTCATGCTAGATCGATTTTCAAAGAGACGCTTTGAACCAACAAGAGGAGTTTCCAGCATCTACCTCTTGAAAGTTCAAGGCTATCAGACGTCGGAAAACATTTCGAGAATGCAACGTTGAAATATCACAAGTAATCATGTCGGAGCATTCGTGAAATTCCTTTTCCACGATTCCACGAACTAGCCCAGAGAACATTACATAATTATCATATTTCCGAAGTACACGAATGCAGCTTACATCCGTGCAAATGCCTTCCGTCATTTCACACACACACGAGGGAACTACTTGCGCGGCAAATGCCGTTTTATTGGGCACCATACAGCATATTGCACTCACACTATTTATACTTCGCGATATTCTCTGCCCGCTAGATGTGCAAGTGTACGCATCATTCCTGAGCATCGACCAAGAATTCCTAAGGGATTGACGTTACTTGATTTTACGCTCGTGACAATTCGGCCGGGTTCGGGGCAACTCGTTCGAAGCCTACAATACTAGATAGAGTGGAAGGCAGAGATGAGTTGGGAGAATGCTCACGGGCAGAGTCGCGCAAACGTGTCCTATGCTGCCCCCAGGTGGAGGATCTGAGTGGCTCACGTATTCGTGATGGTAATACCATGCGGCATTTGACGGTGGCTTACCTACGCTTACCGACACTGCTCGCTTTTGATGGTAAGGGAAAAACACTCGGAGCGTCCTCTTTGACTTTACCCTTCACATACCTTATTTATTTTATTCGCAAATGTTACTACATACAGGCAAATACAGGCAAAACTACAATTTTTATAAGTCACGGAAATTAATGAAAAAATAATGAATGTTTCCTAGGGAACACATAAAACCTACATGGCAAGAGATACCGAACGCATAGCTTAACGTAGTAAAATGGGCAACGAGAACCGCATTCTTAGGATATACAGAACATCCTGATACTTCTGGAAATTATTTTTGTTATCGGGGACGTCGGACGACAGAATTTTCAAGAACAAAATCTCATGGAACCTCATCCTCTAGCGTCGGTTGCGTAATGTTAATAAGTTACTCTCAAAAATTAACTATATGTTTATTATTCGGTACAGAAGTATGATTATTACGTAACATTCGACAATTTTCGAAGTTCCTTTCTTCTTCTTTATTAGGGTTCTTCTCCTCGTTCTTTCTTCTAAATATTTAGGGAGGTTCTCATGCGTCTTCGGGTTCTCCTCTGCAATGGGTTCGGGGGTCCTGGTTAATGAACAGTCGAAGGGGAGCTCGTGGAAAGTTCTGTTGGCGGCAGCGGGGGCGGAAGGGACTGTAGAGAAGGCGGGTGGCGTCGTCGTGCGTCGTTTAAATTTGGAGCGGCGTGCCAGGAATAGACGCGCGCGCCTTCTTGCCTTACCTTACCGAAGCGATGCCACGGCGCGAGAGGCGCGTCCGCCCTCGCCGGCTCCTCCTGCCCTTCTGCCCGACCTGTGCCCTCCGTCAAGTTTCTACACCCTCCGCAAAGCGCGCCATTCTGTCGGTGCAACGACCCTTCGACACATCTGAAATCGACTTTCCCCCACAAGTGATAAAACTTTTCGCTAAAACCTCTCGAGTGTTCGTGAATGCATCCGTCACCCCTTCTAACATATTTTGAATAGAATATAATTAACACCACAAGAATAAAATAGAATTAAGAATGACAGAAAAAGAAGCTTCACAAGAAGTCGTCACATTTCCGTTGAAACTGTGAACTTTTGAATCGTATTCTGTCCGAGCCTTCTTACCAGGTAAAATTAAATTATCGGGACGTTACTCGCTAGATTAAATATTTGTTTAATTTGTAAACAACGTTCTCAAGTATGTTCATAGATTGCACCGGTGTTGCAGTTTTGATCGATCGCTAGGTTAATTAGATTAATATCGATCGCGTGGACTAACAAGCAAGTTCGTAGGTCGCCATCTTTCTTTTCCAAGCCGAATGTAATAGTCGGTGAAATTCGTTTCACTCGTCTCCCGGGTGGCTTGTCGCGTTCGAATTTCAAAAGGAGGGTCATCCTCGAGAGAGACGTAAGCCATCGATTTATAACTCCCACGCGGTGAATCGTTCGTTTTTGTTTTTTTTTTCCTCTATCTTTTCACGTAAGGCAGTTCGTGTTTCCTGTCCCAGGCGGCGCCTGTCTTTTCGGCTAACATCGGTTACCCCGTCGCGACGAAGGAGACGAATAGAGACATGGAAATGTATTTGTTACATTTTTAGAAGGGAGCGTCAATCCCGAAGAGGTGGATCCATCGAGGCGCGAGTGCTCATCAGCCGAAGGAAATGGGCGTGTTTTTTTTCTTTCTTTTCTTTCTTTTTTTCTTTAAGGAAGATCCCCGACGCGGTTGCCTCTGAAGACGTCTCGACGCCTTCGCCGGTAAACTGCCGGAAAAGTCATCCTTAAGAAAAAGCACGTGTCGACAAAGTAAGGGCGGAAAGGAGCTTGGCATTTACTTTGATAAGAAACCCTTCCTTTCTTTTACTCTCATTCCCACGAAAACGGAAGCAGAACTCATTTTAAATGCAGAGAATAAACTCGCCGGAAAAATCCCGACGACGAGAAATGCAATTCAAGTTGGACCGATGGAAATTTAAGTTTGCAGCAACAAATTAGTGATTAATCTTTGTATAGCATTACAAGCATTGTTTCCGTGGTGGAGTAAAAGAGGTAGTGTCTCGGAGTCGTGTTAACGTAACAAGCGGAAAAGAATAATGCTGACTGACTGGCTCGAAAAATGGAATTACTTTATTCAGGTCTATATGTATCTACTTGTAATTTACTGCAAGGCGCACGTGTGCCAACAAAGTGAGGGGCATTTATTACTACAGTGGATGTGAGTTATCCTCCAAAATGACAATTTCTAAGCGCTCCTCGCTTCCGTCGCCGTCCGTCCACCCGGTACACTCATATAATTTATCCGGGTATATATATATTCGCAGATTTTTCCAAGGAATAACACAATTAGCAGCCACCATCGCCCCGTACATCGTGGTACCAAGTGACCGAACGATCTGAAAAACAAACGATATCAAAGAACAATACAGAAAAAAAAATTGTAAAGCGCAACCAAGTGGACCTCCTCGTTGTAGGGTAACACGTGTAAGCAAACACTGCAGGCTGTGTGTGAATTCGAGGATGACCACGTAGGATGCGAAATTGCGATCCCGGTAATTCATTTTTCCCGGTAATCCACGGAACCATCAGGGAAACGCACTTAGGGTCATATTACATCCCGGGTGCTCCTTAATTCTGAGCATTACAGTGTCCGCGTTATATCGTTAGATAAATGATGCGCCGCATCTTTGCGCCCCTCGGCTCTTGCCTCGAAGGAATCTCTTCGGCATCCGAGATCCGGCTCCGATACTCGTTAGTCACGATCTCGAGCAATCCGTTTGCCGAGTTTAGCGCCGACAGGCCGAGTCAAGCCTTTGCTCCTTCCTGAGTAAAGTGCATGCCGATCCGTGTGGCCCCTTTCCACCCCGTATGCGCTTTGATACCGCGCTAGGTGTTATTTTGAAATAGGAGTGTATTAATGCCCCGTGCACCGAGTTCCCGTTTTAGGATCCTCGCACTTGCAACCGAGCCGCTAGAAATCTACCGGAAGTTCCGCGGCGAGGGCCGACGTGTGCATCCGCGAAGTGCAGGGTGCATACAGGCTGCGCCGAAAGATCCGCGGAAGTTTACGCACTCGACCAGTCGGCCGAACTTTCCTAGACGCTTTGTCTTGGAAAATCGGGAAAAATGTATGAAATTAAAAAAAAGAAATGTACCCTGAGTGAGTCGGATTTGAAATTAACCCTTTAATATCTTACATGAATACGATATTAATTTGTCGCTTTGAATGCATGGGAATGGTGGGGGCCACTATAATGGCGCTTCCTAATCAAAGAGTTAATTGATGGATTAGCAATTAAAAATTAATAGGCTCGTGCTCGTACAGATCTCGGAATTTGTGTGGATTATTATTTTTCTCAAATTTCAACCGTGTTCGGACTTTGGAGTTAGGTTGCGTTTTTTGGATTTACCCGAAGGTTTACGCGCTCGATATCGCCCTGGATGTTATTTTCAAATAGGAGGGTGTTAATGCACCGTCCAACGTGCTCCCGTTTTAGTATCCTCGGGCTTGCAGTCAACCGGCGCAAAATCGAGCGGAAGTACCGCGGCTTAGGGGAGAACGCGCTTATAAATCCGCAAAGTGGCCGCAGCCAAACGCACGGCTCCCGACGTGGAGATCTCTGCTCGAGTCCCCGGGTATCCGTGTCGTGGAATTATGCCCCAGGAAAACGACATCCCACGGGCTGATATCGGACATTTCCTCGGGGATCTTGCAAGCTTGCGTTTCCAGGAAACCGAAAGACGCTTTACACTCGCACGGTAACCGGCGGTGTCTGCTTCCGTATTCAATCGCGCTGAAATGAACCGTAAATTGCGACTCGTAAATGTTATTACGAGTTCTGGTCTCACCGATTACGAGGCCCCTGCACCGTGTTGCTCCTCCTCCCTTTAAGAAACTTTGTATTCGGTTCCCAGTTTCGGGTTTCCGCCGCCATTAAAATCCCCGTCGTGGAGACGCGTCGTAAAGAAGTATCAAAGACGGGGTAATTCCGAGCGAGGTCTGGGAAATCCACCCGCAAGGATTTTAGACACTCACAGAAGTGCAGGAATCGTTGAGAATCATTATTGTCTTGATGGCTATTCTTCATTTTAGCGTTACCAATGTCGAGGTGTACTAACGCGAGGTGCGCGTCGCATTCAAGATGGCCGCCGATTTCACTCTCTAAAGGATCAACGAGCCGTAATTTCTTCGAGATATTGATGGCCGGGGCGTGGGGTTGTCCAGGAAATATGCCAAATAGAGGTAATAGAGAAAAGGGAAGACAGTTGAAGAGGTAAACCAAAGTCAATGTATGCTCAGGAGCTCAGGGAATCCCGCTCGCCCATTTAGACCGGCAGCATTCGCTTCGAATTAGTACGCGCGCATAATTGCCCAGATGGCTCGGCTTTATTTGGGCGACACTAAAATATGACGACATCCGCTTCCCGATGTCGTTCCTTGGTTATTCTTGTCCCATAGGAAGTTACCGAGAGTTTGGTTGGTCATGCTGTTCGCGCTTTCGAGGGCTCCGCAACGATTTGCAATGGACCTCGAAATTAACTTTCGATCGGCGCCTTGTGATATTCATTTTTTCTTTTTTAATCCGTGCCGCACGGTCGATTGAAAACCGCTTAATAAGTTTCAACTATCATCCATAATTATATAGTGAACGTTAAGTTGTATTTATCAATGCACTTAAAAAATTCTTACTGAGCAGATGAGTGCTTCGGGAAGATAAGGAGAAAATTACAGAATGTTGAGATAAGGGGAATGGACGTAAATAAATAGTCCTTAAAGATTTAATTTAATGGTCTTTTGAGTAGCGTTAAGTCCGGAGAAAGCACTATCTGATGAATATGATTCGAAAACTGTAGATTCCCCTCGATAGCCTAATAAATCGAACAGGGAATATTGTTCAACGCACAAATACGCTCCGCGTGTAAATATTTATACGGAATGTTTAAACCCGTCCTCGGACGACTGAATTTTTCATTGATCGCGAAATTGCAAGGCATTAGCGATAGATCCGATTCCGTGGTTCTAGCACTGCGGAGAAAGGAGCGCCAACTGTTTCGCTTTCCAGACTAAACGATTCCGAAAATAGGACTACGGTATGTGTTGCAAAAATCAGACCCGGCCAGCTTTAAGCCAATCCGCGAAAATGTTAGCCCTAACCAAGAATTATAGCCAATTCTGCCGAATTACTCCACCATGGGTAATTGTCAGACTACTATATGTTAACATTACTTCCTCTTACACCTCTTACACGGAATGGGTGTACCACCCCATTACCAGATATTAATTTCTCGCGAAAACGGATTAATTAAATTAATAATTCTAAATGATTAAACAATGATGAGGATCCGAACCGCACGATGTACGTTTATGATTTGCATCAAAAGAAATCTCGAAAATTGATATTAGGGCGAATTTCGAAGTTATCGGCTTTCGTTGGCGACGCCTAGGAGTTTACTCCGAAATACACGTCCAGGATAAAGATTTACGAATTCGAATCGGCCCTGGGTCGTTTAACCGGGAGTAATTACCTGAAAATAGTCCCTCTTAGTCGGTGGAAAGCTGGTAGTTTTCAGCAGCGGCACGTCGCGGATCGAGCCCGGGTAATTATTCGTGTGTTTGGAGTGTAAACGAGGGGCTCGCTCCTGTTCGAGCTTTCCTCCAGCCGGAAGTCCGCGCCGTCTTCGCGATCCTCCTTCTCCGACTTCCATCGACGTCCGAAGCTCGTGTTAGGTCGTACAGGTTCCTAGAAAACTAAATCTGCGGTCAAACGTAAAGTGGAAAAAGAAAAAAAAAATGTTAGTTCAAAGATCCATAAAAACATGGATTTCTTGATGAAAGAGGAAGGAGAAGGTAACGCGCAATGGCGGACACGAATGCCCTACCTAAAGGTGATATTTTGCCAAATGCCGTCACTGGTGCAGGACATCGAGAATTCTTGCCGTTGATTTGAACGGCTTCAAGGAGGAAAGTCGGTCTAGGAGCCGAAGAAGGCCTCGAGAAGGCGAAAGAAATCCGAGATGGAAATCGGCGAAGAGGCCTCGAGGAGGATCTTCCGCTTCGGCGTTTACGGAACCGCCGGTCGATTTGGGGATAATATTTATTCCGGAGGGATACAAGTGAGTCTGGAGACAAGCCAAGGACCGCCATTGGCTAAGAGGCGACACGACACGCCTCGGGGTTATGAAAAACATATAAATCTGTCCGTTGTGCCCGCTCGAGGAGGCGAGAGGTTAGCGAGTGTCCTCGAGGGATCGGCGATCGCGGATTAATCCCGGCTTAATCGCGGATTATTCCTGGATTATTCGCGGATCAATCCCGGCTTATCGCCGTTCCCAAAGAGATGCCCACCGCCCTTGATATTTTGGATATCTTCGATATTTATTCTGCCAACAGGGGGAGGGAACGAAACGGATTTAACGTTTACCTCTCCGTCGTTCCGGCTGAGTTATGGGACAAGAGCACTTCGATAATTTTTCCAGGCCGAATAGCGCGGCGTAGTAATTGGCCCAAAACTCGAGAATAGACGAGGCGAGCCAGGTGGAAATAGAATCGGAATTAGAATCTGGGGGGGACATTCGTTTCCCGGAGGGGAGAAAAAGAAAAGACATCCGCGGTGAGATATGCGAGTTTACGGTGTCGTGCGGCATTGTCACCTCGAAAGGGGTTGAAAGGACCACCTCAGGAATTAGGTGCACCAAGTGACGAGACACGTTCACTGTCACCCCGATACGCAGGGTGGCTCGATTTTGAAACGACCTCACCTAGAACGAGTACATTGAACTAGCATAATGTGACCTGATAATTACCATTCGTTATGCAGGACGAGGGTGTTTGAATGAAGCATTATATCCGGCTAATTAGAACAAGAATGCGGCGTACCCAAAATTGCCATTACCGCAGTACGCTCGTCAGTTAAGTGAGAGAGAGAGAAAAAAGAGGCCGGATAAAGTTAGCGGTTACCGCCTATTAATACCGGGACATCGTTCAATTATCTAAAACAAGTCCTGGGAATGGTGTTTAATTAATTAAACCGAGAATTCGATGTACACAAGATAGTTATTACCGCGGTAATGGCCCTCGGTCAAGAGAGAGGAGAAAGTCGAAGATCGGCCCTCGCGGATACGAGAGAGAGGGAAGACCATAGGTATAGGGGAGCGGCTGTCGCCTATTAATATCAGGATATATTTCAATTAATCAAAATAAATCGGGCGAGGGATCGCGCGCGCAGGGCGGCACGGGGCGGGCGACGCGCGTGCGCGAGGCGTCGGGACGCCGCTCGACGGCGCCCGCCGACGCCTTCTTGAATGAAACGACTTTGGAGAGTCAGTCCTCGAGCAGGCGTCCACCCTCGCACTTTGACGGGTTTTACTCCCTCAGGAGGAGACGGGAGTGATTTCCCGTGGGATATCTCGGCTCCTGGGAGGCGCGTCTTCCCGCGACACGGTAGGATCGGACAGGCGTCGCGACGCCTGGCTTCGGCCTCGGCTTCTGCATCTCTCCCGCTGTTAGATTTAACCCTTTCCATTCTTTTAGCTGTTCCGATCCCTCGCCGACTCTAACCTGCCTGTTGATATGACCACGCGTTTGCTACCTATACAATTTATGTACACCTTCACGGAATTGGCCCATTTAAAGTAAAGGAATAAGGATTTACTTGAAAATAAAATAGCTCGCACTCCCCGGATATCGCTGGTCTCCTTTTCGATATAGATTCTTTACCTTCTATTGTTTAACATTGATACGAGTGGCCGTTCAGTGTGACGCTATCAGGAATTTTTCCATTATTCCTGGACGTGCTTCTTTCAGAGTGGTTTTTCGTGTGCTTTTATGCAATCTTCTTGTACGAATGGGGAGTGGGATGTACCCATCGGACTGGATTTTCGGAACTGGAGGGATTGCCTGAAGTTTCAATTGTTTATGTGACCGGGTAATGTCGGTCTCGCATCCGCGCGATGTGGGGAAAGGGTTGGAATTTTCGGAAAAATTTCTTTTCAAGAGTACGGTCTGGTAGAGTTTTATCCTGAAATTTTTAAACATTGTTAACTTGTAGCCGTAGGTTTTTGAATGATTCCTGCTGCGCCTAATTCCGGTATATTGTCACTTGATTTCTCTCTCCGAGTTTAATTCCTATATATATATTGATAATCGAGAATAAACGACACAATATATCAAAATTTTGTATCATCGGGTTAACGGGTCGTAAAATTGTTATCAAAAGCAGGTTTCAAAAGTGAATTTAATTCGAGGCTTCGGTTTACGGTAACCTCAGGGGCGACGCGATGGCGCGGGCAATTACGGCCGATTCTGTGAGCTCGTTCAGCCACGTCGTTTTGGGACTCTATAATAATCCCCGTGGTCTCCGTAATAATTTCAGCGTGCTCAGAGAGTGCATTGTAAACATGCCAACTTGAAGTGCCGCATGCAGAGGTGGCTGCAATAATGTAAATCGTGAGATCGAGCCTCGACGTGTGGCGCGACGAGGGCGGAAAATGCTTTCATAATGAGAGCGGCGAAGCAATTACCGTCCACATAGCATAAAACGTGAGAATTATCGAGGTCCTGGGAAGCCTCGAGAAAGGAGAAATTCTCAGACCTGATCCCAACTCCGACGACCCTGAAAAGATCTCGTGGAGCACGTTCGCGTTCTATTCTGAATCATGCGCGTTATACGGATGTACAAGATGACGTCACGAGAGAGAAACTTGCCAGGAGAAGATTTCCTCCAAACATAATTCTAGAGAGACCATCTTTACCTTGGCGAAATTAAAAAAAGAAAAGAGAAAGAAATTAAAAGTGAGGATATTTCCCCGACCGCTTCACCCGTTTAATCTCTCGATTCATTCGTTAACTTCAATCCAAGCAGTTTAATAATTTATCGCCTCGCTATTTTCAAACGTAGTATTTATTTGCCTTGGCTGTAAGCCTCTGGATATCCAGTAGTCTAATGTTAATCCCGTGCAAAAACGTTAACGCTTCGGTGTACCGTCCTTCCTTCGACGCGTGTTATCCAAGATGGCGGCCCTTTCGCAGCATGACCCAGTAGACTTTCGGTTTTTTCCTGGTAACTAAATCCTCCTCGAGACTAATTCTAACGTCCCGATGTTCGCGTAGCGACGACCAATCTTCTCTTAGCGATTGCACGTGAAATTTACCCCAATTCACGCAAACGTCCCTGTAAAACATGCCACCGTTATCGTCGGAACCGTAACCATTCATCCGCCGTTCCGCGCGGCGTTAACAACACCCCATGTACCTGCAATAGTAACCGCAATGCCGCATGTCTTGTTCAACCCTCTATTTGCGTAATATTATCTTTACGATTGCCATTAGAGCAATATACCGGAGCCATTTCATTTGTCGCCATATACCACTCCTTTCGCGTGTAACACCCCCTCATTTCCGCATGCCGGCGCGTGCACGCGCAATATCGTCGCTTTATCATTGCCGGGCTGGCGGGTATTTCTGCGCTGCGGGCGTTCCGCGCGGAACGCGATCCTGCTAATCGGATCCGCGAGAAGCCGGGGCCCGTCGGCGAATTTCCCAGCGGCGGCCGCGCCAATCCAAACAAACCGCCGACCTGGGAAGATGCAAGATACAATCGCGGGGGGATAAACAATGGTCGCCGTTTGAAGCCGCCGAGAGGTGGCGCGCCGTCCTCGGGGCCGCCGACGCCATTTGTCCGGAGGACGGCGTCGACGAGGGCGATTAGCGCCACGACGACGTCGCGCCTCTCGCGGCTCGTGTCGCGCAAATTAGCGTCCTGGCCGGCCGGTGCTAATTGTTTGGACAGTCGCTCGCTACGGGGAGAATTGTCGGAGTAAAATATGGCCGCCGCTCGAGAAGGATGCTCTCGTTTGTCTAGGAGGCCTCCGCGTGAACCGGAACCACCCGGAGCCTCGAGTTCCTTCCTTTTTCACTTTTCCCTTCGCCGAGGTGCCGAATTATCGGCAAAAAAGATTGTCCTTGGACAAAATGGCGGCGTTTCTTCGCCGACGTCCTGGAAATTAGAAATTATAGGGCGTTATTCTATGTACGGGACGGCCTGGTGAAAATCAAGGGAAATCTACGTACGTAGGATTATCTTTAATTTACCGAGGGTGCTTAACGTGACCACGTAATTTCACTGCAATTCATCGTGGTATCGGAATAACCAACGATTCAGTATGTAAATTTACATGGGCATCTACATCAACGCGTAACAATGCTCCTAGCCTGGAATTACACGTCGCTCTCCTTCTCGAATTATGGAGTCCTGTAAAATATTTCTCGCCGGTTGTAACAATTAATCCAGAAGTAGTCTTAGAAAAATTAGTCGTACCGAACTTAACCGCACCAGACTATCAAGGATCTCTTTCAACGGCGATTTGTTAACCGTGGAATTTTCTTGCGCCCTGTGTAACGTATCATATATACGACGGTTGGTGATATGGGGCGATGCGAAGCTGGAATTCATAAAAATTTGGACACGTGGGGCCAGATTCTATCCTCGTCGATGACGAGGCTCTAGGGGGCAGCGAAGACGCGAGTTCAAAGAGGATTCGTATGGACGATGTAACGACCTACCATAACGACGGTCTCAAAAGAGGGACAACAAAGACTCTCGGATTCAAAGGGGATTTCGATGCGTGGCGACGTGACCTCGGGTTGACGGTTTCGACGACGTCATCTCGAAGAGTCACCTCCGGAAAGGCTGGCCCGGGCAGAGGCAGGTCGGCTGGTCCAAAACGATTTCGCGGGAAATCTAATTAGGCGATCTAACCCAACCGTAAGGAAGGTAGCTTACTTGTACACCACTCGAGACGACGTATGAAGATCTGCATTCATAGGCACACATATTTACGGAGGGGGGGGCACGCGAGATATCGAAGAGGTATATAGGATATGAGTGAACGTTACATAAGGCGAGCTTAATATAGCCAACACTCTCTGGACCTTAGCCATATTCATATGCCGTACACACGCACGACTATACACAGGAGTGCACGCATCATTCGTAGGTGCGACACACGCGTGACCTTAATAGTGCTCACGTGCACGCGTGCACGACACGCATACG